TTTTGTCAACTCTGAGTGGAATTTTTATGCCGTTATTATAACTTGTGTTTTATGCATATAATAATTTTTATTAATATTTGTATGTTTATTCTTGTCATATATCTAAAATAAATTACTTTGTTTGAGAAATCTGACAAGATCACAAGTTCTTTTCTCATTCATGATCAGAGGGGTGTTTCATTATTTCTTGATTTCATTTCTTGCAAGATCTTGTGGAACATGACTTTTGTGAGATTAAGCTGGTATTAATCTCATAAGAGCAGGGTTCTTACACAAGCAAGAAGCAGTTTTAATTCCAGACTGTACGGCAGTGTGCTGGGATGGATGGCTACCAGAACACTGCCTGATCAAACAGATGGGTTTTAGTTTAAAAGCATCCAGATTATGGATGATCCAGCAGCTCACCAGTCTTGGTGCATATGCCTACTGTACTAGCAGAATTAGTAAAAGTTCTTGTTCTGCCAGAGGAACCTATAGAGATCAGAAGGATTGTCCTGGTTCAGAACCAAAACCATCTCTTTGACACAGTCTGGTGCTCGGCCGTGGAGGGCCACAAATAAAAACAATCATTTCTTTTAATCAACCCTAAAATTAAGATAGCCAGTGTAAGGACTTTCCAACAGGTCTAATGTGAGCTCTGGTTGGTCCTATAAGGAGGCTGAGTCATTTCAAACACAACAAACCATCTAAAAACTGACTGAATTTCATAAATAAACTAAACTTCAAAAACAAACATAAAACCACAGGATTATGTTGGGCTGAGCGATCATCATGGTACGATGAATGATGACTTTGGGACCAAAGCACAAACTGCCACACAATCACCATTCATTAAATTTTTCACAGCATGGCTCTAGATTATGTCAACAATGATTGATTTACTCTTAATGTTCTCATGAATCTAGACGTTTGTTGTTTATATTTGTTTTGCAGGTGACAGTCAGATGGACCGTCTACAGCTGAGATGATGTTAGCGTTCATCCCACAGTGTGTCACAGATGAATGAACATTGTGTGTCCGTGTGACAACTTGTGTGTAGATGTATGCGTGACACATTCATTCCAGCCAATGCATCATTCAGAGAGCAGAAACATGTTGCTGTAAACCTGGGAAGTCCTGTGATGAAAGATTTCTGTGAGAGAGAACGATTTCCACCGTGATGAAGTGTTGCTGCAGGTGTGTGTCCAACCAGTGAGTCAGAACAACCTGCAGGTGTGTGTCCAGGTGTGTGTCCAACCAGTGGGTCAGAACAACCTGCAGGTGTGTGTCCAACCAGTGAGTCAGAACAACCTGCAGGTGTGTGTCCAACCAGTGGGTCAGAACAACCTGACAAAGACGTGAGGAGACAGTTTTGGGAGAAATAAATTGTCAATAAAGAGGAAATGAGGAGCAGGAGGAGCTTGTTTCCCATCATCACAGCTGTGATCAGTATCAGTGTCTGACACTGTAAATCACTTCCTGTTATGAAGAAGCCTGTAAATCACACCTGAAGCCCAACAGCTCTTATTTATGTCTCCATGTGTTCATAAAACAGGCAGTAAACAGCTCTGTGAGCAGAAAAATGGCTTCTGAATAACAGCACGAAACTCAAGTTCAGATCTGGAACATGTTAATTGTGTTTACGCTAAATAAAAGTTCATTTCAAAGTGCAGTGGTGGGCACAGTTTGGTTAATTAATAGCTAAAAGAGGAGCAAACTTTTTGTCAAGAGGATTAGAGTTTTTATCACTTTAAAACCATTATAAAAAATGAGCTTCCACTACATGAAGTTGTGCTTTAAGTCTGCTAACGAAAACAACAACAATCCTCACAATGTAGCGCTGCATGTTTGTGTCATACACCTTCTGTTTGCATGTAGCATCTTTAGCATTTTCTGATTCAAATGTTGTTTTACTGTTTGGTGGCAGAAGGTTTTATATAATCTTAATGATAATAATGATTTAGTCTTATATAGAGCTTTTCAAGACACTCAGATACTTTACAGTTTTCATTCATTCACACACTTTCACTCACTGATGGTGATAAGCTACAATGTAGCCACATCTACCCAGGAGGAGCTGCCATGCTGCGCCACTGGACCCTCTGACCACCACCAGGATCGAACCGGCAACCCAGCAGCTACAGGACAACTGACCGTAACCACTCTGCCACAGTCGCCCCGATAACTAAAAACATTCTGACATTTCTGTGGATAGCACACATGTAGACTGAGTTAGCGGTTAGCGTTAGCTTCCACACTTTTTTTACCAGTTTAATTACTTTGTTTTTGCAAATGTTTTTTTACATAGCAGGTTGGTGGTTAGCAAAGCCAACTGTTTGGTAATAAAGTGTTTTTTAGGCCACTGATGTGCGACTCCTCATGATTACCATGCAGCGTTACATTCTAAGAGTAACTGTAAATCATTTAAAAAATAAATAAAACAAAAAATGTAAGTGATCCAGAAAAGGCCTGCAGCTCATTTGGTGTGGCATCATCATGCAGTAAGAACCAAACAAGAACACAGAAGAGCTAAACAGTTAGCAGATAAATGCCACACAGCTCTGTTAGCAGGAGGAAATGCTGCGGGCACAGCATGGGCACAGGGTCACATAGTGCACTGTATTTAAAAACATGTATGGAACTGAATTTACATTAATATTTATGTTGCACAGTTAGTAAATGATAATTTTCTTAATGTTTTTACTTGAAAAGTTGTGAAAATGCTGTTCCTTACTGTACTATATTTTCAGTTTCCACGATATCTGTTAGGCTCCATGAAAGACTGAGTCCACTGTTAGTGTTTCACTGGATTTCAAGAAGTAAGTCAACATTTAAATAATCAAATGATCATTTTTAAGATGTTAAAACCCTGTTCACTCACAAACATGACTTCAGCCATCAGCCAGCCAAGACAAAGAGGAGCTGAACTACATTTACTCACCGATTCAAGTCCACGTCCAAAATTAATTTTTGTCCAAAAGCATCGACCTGAAAGCTTGCCTGGGCCACATGGTCCACCTAAAAGTGCAGAAAAAACACGTTATTCACAACTGAAGGCAGGCGCAGTCGTGTTTCAGGCCATTAACGTTCACATGGATGAGCTCTCTACACTGATGATGGTTTGCATGTTTCCCCAGCACCGATCAGCAGGAAAAATCCTGCTTTCATTAAGTCATCCAGATTGGTTTTATTGGACCGGAGGTGAATTTATCTTTTCTGAGGCTGCAACCATAAAAACTGGAGCTGTTAGTCAGAAATTCATTTTACTTTGACACATTCACCTCATTTGTAAAGAAGCTTCATGAAACCAGGACTTTCTCAGATCCCACTGAGTTTCTGCAGCAGGCTCTGATTTACTCTGAGAGATGACCACATGTGGTGCAGGCTTCATGACACACCCTCTGGGTCAGTAACAACTGTGATTTCTGCAGGTGCACAAGACTCTCAGGGCTGACCTTAAACACAGAAGCCCCTCCCCCCTTCAGCGTGGCCCATGGGCTTCTTTTATTGTAGATCAGGGTCTGTGGTGACGACAGGAGGAGGGCTTGTAGGAAGTGGCCCTGTGCTCACCCAAGGATGACCTCAGCCTCACATGTCCCTTGTGACCACACACACTATTGTTTGCTGGTGTGTGTGTTTAAATATGAGCAGGTAAGAGCAGCGTAAGTACATCCAGATGATAATCCAGAACCTGTGATGAAACGTAATCTGGCAGACTGGGATCTGCAGTGATTGTGGCAAATAAAAGCCTGGCCCAGTCAGAGCCGATCTGTCATTAAGAAACCAGCGCTGAATCTTCTTACATCGATTTCTGACTTCAGCCAACCTGAAGTGCTGTCAGTGCAGAAACACAACCGGAGTGCACAAACTCACAATCATTTACTCCCCAACCCAGTCCGACCTCCTCCTTCAGTTGTGTTTGTGTCTGAGACTGAAAATAGATTAAAAAATAGACGGGTCTAAAAATAACTTCCTGTGAGTCTTACATTTTAAGAACTAGTTGACAGATTTGTTTTTAGGACACTAATCTAAAAACAGCCAATAACTGATCAAACTTTGTGAGAAAGTGACATCACAGGTTTCATGTCTCTGGAGAACAGATCAAATCAAAGACCATGTCTTTCTCATGTGCAATGAACATTTTATAGATGTGTCTTCACTCTCAGGCTGTCACTAGTAAAGCTGTAACGTGACCAAAATAAATCTAAATTAATACTCTATTAAGTGCTATTACCTTAAATTCTACATTCTGGTAAATTTTGAATATGTTTTAAACTCTTCCCCTGACGAYAACCAGGCCAGCTGTGGCATGCCATCTTAAAACCAGTGCCATCCTTGCCAGACCTGGCCCACAGCTGTCTGCTAGGTGGCTTTTAAACCAATTCAAATGGAGTTTACAAACCAGTAACCAAACTAGCTTCTTGCTAGCTAAAACCAAAATCAACAACCAACAGAACATTTTGAAGTTTTTGAGATGAAGAATTCAGGAACAATAACTCAACATTGTGTCATGGCTCACAGATTGGGTAGAAAACTTGTCTGTTTCTATAAATAAATGATTTCCTGGTTTAAAAACCTGCAGTGATAAGTTTCTGCTTCAGGCTGAAACATTAAAAATACGTCTGATTGATATTTGCTGTTAGTTTATTTACTCATTGAACAACATCTGCAGCTGTGATGCTGGAGGCTGACAGGATTAACCCTTTCCTCCATTCATCCATCTGTAATACTGTCTTCTTTCTGAGCCCTGAACAAGCTGCACTGAACAAACAAATCACAAACATGTGACAAATGGGAAGATTTGGGCCGTATGCATACAAACATACAGACAAATCAAAATCAATCCAGACATCATGCTGTTTCACTGAAATTTTAAAACAGTGATTATAATTCTGCTTAGAGTTTTCTGGATACTTTTCACTTTTTGATTTAGTGTCCAACAACACATTATGTCAAAAAATTATTAATCAGTGCAAAYAAATACAGCAATTTACCTCCAACTGCAACCTTCGTCTTCAGATAACTGCTGTAAAAATTTGGATATAAAACAGAACTCTGTTTGTGTGAGACCAACAATAAAATATAAATTTTAAACCTGGAACAAATATTTCAATAATGACTCACTGCCTTTGTTATTAAACCTGGGTGGGGGGCGGGGGGGTGTAGCTGAAGGGGGATGCTTTCAGGTAAAAACAAAGTTTTCAGCGCCCCCCAGTGGACAGAATCATGTGGTTTTAATAGAAACAGGTCATGCTGACATGTTTCCCTGTAATTTGTAGCTTGTTCAGAACAACATCCACGTCTTTAGTGATGCAGCTGAGATGTGCTGACTGACAGTGAGCCGTGCAAACACACCACAGACATGTCGACTGAGCTTATCTGTCAATCATTCAAGCTGTCAATCAAACCCTAACTGATCATAAAACAATCATCGATGCCCTACTAATCACACAGAACCTGAAGTGTAAAGTCCCTCCTCGGCAGTGGGATAATTTTAAATCAGTTTGTATATAGGACAGTACTGACCCATTTAACACCTGCACACATCGCTGAGGCCTGCTCCTCCATGTTTGCATATCATGTGTTTGTTTTGTAATAAACAATCCAAGCAGTGTGAGGAGACGAGTAAACATACACAAACACACACACATCCATCATCTAACAACATGAAATCACACACACAAAGGTAGCTGTGTGTATTTGTGTTTGTTTCCTATTTAGGACCGTTTCTTACCAGTGCTGGCTCTAGCCATTTTGGTGCCCTAGGCGAGTTGAAGCCCCCCCCCCACAAACTATGTCCCACCCACC